CCCCCCCACCATCTGCCTGTCTGCCTCGGCCTCAGGGTGCCCTGCTGACCGTGGGCCCCTACAGGCCTGCAGCCCCCTGGACACCTCTACCTGCACGGCCGAGCATCCGCCGCCCCACGCGGGGGCCAGCACGCCCCTTCATCGTGCAGGCGGCCTCTCTGGGGCCCAGGAAGGGAAGATACTCTCAGGCTTGTGCTCGCGGTTCAGGCCCAGCCCGGAGGCCCCCGCGGCCCCACCGAGCGGAGGGGCCAAGAGCTCCCTGACTCGAACCTGCGAGTCCCCTGCCCCCGCCCAGGCACGGCCCACCCAGGGGCCTCCTCACGCCAGGGCGTGCCTGGCTGCAGCCCAGGTGGTGGGTGGGATGCGGGACCTGACTGATTGCTCTTTTGCACGCAAGGCCCCTGGCTGTTCCAGGTCGCTGCCGTAATGCCTCGGGCCTCAGCCTGACTTTCTGCTTCACCCCACTTGGCCCTCCACCCTCGCTTCAACCTCACCCCTCCTGACTCCCCCTCTGACGCGCTATCCGGGGCAGGGTGGAGGCGTCTGCCCTGTCTCTCCTCCTCTGCTCTTCTCCACCCGGCCCTGTGCGGTCCAGAGGGTCTTGGTGGACCTCAGCACCCTCCTCCCAAGGCCAGCACCCTCTCGGGCCATGGGCTCTGCACTCGGTGTTGGGGCTGGCTGCCCCCACCTTCCTGCTGGTGGCCCCAGAAGGGCCTCATCCCCACACCCCCGAGGGGTGTGCGCCGGGGGGCCAGGAGGAAGACTGCACCCAGACCCAACCTTTCCCACCGTGTCCCCAGCCCATGGGAAGGTGGTGGGAGTCAGGCAGGGAGCAAGGCTGGGGGGAGGAAATGTGCAGGGATGTGCTCGGGGGCGGGGACGTACCTTCTTGGACCTCCTCTGCAGGCAGAGCACAGTGGGGCGGGGGAGAGAGAAAATCAGCCGTGAGCCTGGGCAGAGGCTGAGGGCAGGGGCGGTGGGAGGGGGCAGAGGTGGCGGGGTCTGAGCAGAGCCACACTGTGAGTAGGTTACACGGGGCCCCTCTTGCTCCTGCGTGTGGCCTGGGCGCCTGCTCATAGCCACACGTGGTCACTCGTGTGCATGGGCACCCACACGGGACTGAAGTCATGGCACATACCTGGTTCGTGGACTTCATGGGGGAGGGAGGGCCACGGAGCAAGAGGTCAAAGGAGGAAGGATCCGAGGTTAATGGAAACACCGGTCGCCATTCGGGAGGGTCAGTGGCCGAGGGCAAGGGGCAGGGAGCATGCGGGAAGCCAGTGAGACACGGTGAGTGTTGGTGGGCATCGCCGGCCCCAGATCCTGTCCCTGCCTCGCTGACCTGACGGGGAACTGGGGCTCAAAGGTGGACTTGTGGGGGGAAGGGGTCCCCACCTGTCCTCCACCCCCCAGGAGGGACTGGCGGGGGCTGACAGGCTCTGGCTGCGGCCTGGTACGGGGACACAGGAACCAGCAGGGCAGGGCCCACAGCCCAGGGGAGCAGGCCCAGAGGGCACCCCACTTCTTGCCCCCGCTGCCCTTGTCTTGGCCTCCAAGGGCACACGGACACGGGCACCCACCTCGGCTGCTCTGCCCACTGATCAGATCGCAGGCTCCCCAACCCTCTCATCGTCCCCCAGGATCCCGAGGAGGGGCCCACGGGGCAGGTCTCTGGGCATGGCCAGGGGACGTCCCTGCTGGGGGCTGATGGGCTGTTTGTCCATCGCCCCGTGCTCACCTGCCATCTGACCTGGTGCCCTGACCTAGTCAAGGGGTCAGATTCAGCCGCAGGCTCTCAGTTCCCCACCCTGGGCCAGAGGCCGAGTTTCAGGGCTGGCGAGGCCAGGCCCGTCCAGCAGTCCCCCCACCAACCCAGTCTCCCTGTGCTGGGTTCATGAGTCCCATTTGCAGCTCAGCCTGAGTCAAGGGAGTGCCTGGCCCTCAGGGACCCCCCTCCCACTCTGGTCAAGCATTGGCCATGGTTAGTGGGTGATGTTAGGGCCACATGTGGGAGTCCTTTGCTGGCTGGCACCTCGCTGCCTCCCTGCCCTCTCCCCCACCCTGCGTGGGCTCCAGCCAGGCCCTGGGCCCCACATGGGGATCAGAAGTCCTGTGTCCTCATACCTTCTTCATGGACTTCTGCAGGTGGAGGAGCACCAGGTGTGCAGGCAGCAGGAGGAGAGAGGAGAGGTTAGGCCAGGAGCACACAGCACATCCTTAGGGGGTGGGGGCACGCTGGGCGGGGGGGCGGAGAGTGCTGAAGATACCTGTGGGGGCTGGGGTCCTGGACCCCGCTTACCTTCCTCCTGGGCCTCTTCTGAGGTGGGAGCAGCGGGAGGGAGAGAGGAAACAAGGACAGTCATTTAGGGGTACACCTGGCGTGGTGGGGAAAGAGACCAGTCCCCCAGGAGAAGGGGTAACTGGCGCTCCGGGCTGGAGGTGGGGAGCCCTGGAGACCTGGGCCTAGACCCTGCCTCTGTCCTGTGACCACCCCTGGGACCCCAGGGCTCAGGCTTCTTGCTCCCTCCTTGGGGCCTAGGCCCCCCAGATGGGCCTTGGGACCCGCCGCCTGCCTGCCCGCCCCCACACGGGGGTGTCTTTGCGGGACGGTCTAGCCAAGTCCTGTTCCGCGGGTGACGGAAGTGAGGACAGGGGACGAAATCCACTGTGGTAAGAAAAGCCTGGGAGGGTCCAGGCAGGCGACGCGGTCTCTGCGCATGCCCGAGGTGATGTGGACGCTGAGGGTCTTGGAGGAAACGGGGGCAGGGGACCCTTCATGTCCTCCACATGGTCTTCCCTGGGGAAGGGGCAGCTCCCCAGGACCACGTGGCCTGCTCAGAAGTGAGTTTTTCCACCTTTTCAGCACAAAAAAGAAATGTTTTGCTCACGTTGTTAGGGTAGCCAAGTGTTTTCAAAATATTTCCAAAACACAGCACCCAGCACACCTCACAGCTGGGCTCTGCCTGGTGAAGTTGCGTGAACGCTTCCCTGGGCCTGAGCGCGTTCCAGGGATTTTGGAGGAGCACCCACCCGGGCTTGAGAGCCGCCTCTCCGCGCGGTTCCCAGGTGCAGCAGCTCCCCTGCGCCCCACACCTGCCCGGGCACGACCGGGAGACTCCCACAGACGCCAGGCCGTGCGAGGGAGGGGTCTCCAGATGAGCCCGGAGGTTACGGCCCCAAGGCGGGGATGCTGAGAGACACGGGGACACAGAGACAAGGGAGGGAGAGACAAGCGGGGTCCACACAGCCGGCCCTTGATATTAATGAGGGTGAGTCGCAAAGCACACGTCAGGTCTGTCCACACAGCACTACCGGGACAGGTATAATGAACGATTAACAAGTGTGTCTATTAGTGGATGAAGATGTGGGAGATTAGAGGTGACAGCAAGTGGTCATTAATGATGAGGAGGATGGGAGTCCAAGAAGCCCAGTGGGGGTGAGGCCACGTCCTGAGCTGAGTGGGGCGGCCTGGGTCAGGGTGGGGGGCATGTGGGGCCGCCAGGATTACCTTCTTCCTCGTACTGCTCTGCAATGGGACAGAACACGGGAACCGTATTAGCGGGTGGCCCTGGAAGCCAGCTGCCCCACCCCCGAACCACCGAGGAGGGGGCCTGGGAGGCTTGGGCTCTGGACACCCTGGGAATCCTGCCGGGGCAGGGGGCGGGGGCCCAGGTCCCCCTGGGAGAGCGTGGCGAGGCCGCCAGCCCCAGAAGCCCTGGCCCGAACGCTGCCCTGGACAGCTCTGCAGGGCCTGCTGGGCGTACAGGGGCAGGGTTCAGATGTGACCACATCTTGGGATTGTCCTGGGAGGAAGAGGGGGCCCCGAGTGCAGGGGCAGGAGTGGCGAGCCCATGTTCAGAGCGGGTCGGTCTAGCGCCCACTGCAGCCAATGTGGCAAAACTCGGGCTTCCCACCAGGGCTTCCCAAGGAGAACCGTGCTGTCAACGGCCTTACGGGCTCGTCTCATGTGTGACTTGTCCCTGAGGGTGGACGGAGAGGGAGAATCATTTGACACTTACCCTCGACCTGTTCACTGTTGGGGCCGGGGGTGGGGGGAGAGAGAGAGAGAGAGAGAAGGGCTGAGTTGGGCTTTCACTCTGTGTCTCCTGAGACCGCGGGTCCCCTGGCCTCTGCACACAGCCCAGGTCCAGGGGGCCCGCACAGGGCGTGTGGCTGCCAGGACTGGTACTCACACTTCCTCGTCCGACATGGTGGCGGGACTGTTTCTGTGGGGGAAGGAACGCGACCAGAGTCAGAATGGCCTTGGTCTAGCAGTGCTGGAAGGGGTGAGTGTTGGGCTCCTAGGGCTGGGGGTGTGAGGGGACATCCAAGGACAGGGTGGAGGCCAGCTCTCCGGCCTGGGATGGGCCTCCTCCGCAGCCCCCACCCCCAGCCCTCCTTGCTGGACTCTGATCCCTCCCCGCCCCCCCTTCCTGCCCTGGCTCCAGCCTGGAGCTTGGAATCTCGGGGCTGGACGGGATGTTGGAAGGTCGTGGCGTCCACCCCCACCCAGGGCAGACATCCTCTCTATAGCATTCCCCGAGGAGGGTCATCCAGAATGCACGGTGCTTGTCCAGACTGTTTTGGACAGCAGAGAAGTCCTGCCGATGTGGCTCGAAACCTGCTTCTTGATGGTCTCTGCCTTTGGGCCGAGGTGGTTGGGGGTTCGCCGGGAGCCCCTAGGTGACAGAGCCCCACTCCCCCAGTGGGCGTGCTGAACCTTCCTGGGTCTTCGTGCCTCACCATCCCCATGACAAGCGCTCCTGGTGTGAGCCCAGAGCTCCCTTCCCCAACTGATGGTTTCCTGCAGGGACCCCACATTCCCCTATGAGGGTGCCCTGGGAGTCCCCCACAGCCCCTGTGCAGTCCCCTCCCCAAAACCACAAGGATGCATGAGCCATTCTCCTTGTCTCCCCCCACCCCCACAGAGCAGACTGGGCCCCGAGCTCATGGGGCCGGGGTCTGGGCTGTTTCTCTGCGCATCCCCCAGCCGGGGCCCTGAGCAAGAACTGAGTGGACAGCCCCATCCGGCCGGCCCCTCTCAGCCTGCTTTCCCAGGCCCCGTGGATGCTCTTGAATTTGTCAACGTCTGCAGGGAAGCTCTGTGCCCGGGCCCGGCCGTACGTATGCAGGTGCGGCCGGCACCGGGCCAGCGCGCTCAGGGACGCTCGTTCCGTGAACTGGCCCCCGCACACGCCTGAGGGGCCCCGGGGCTTGACACACGGCGTTCAGGACAACATATCGCAGCTTAGTGGAAGACACAGTAGTTGTGCCCCCCACCCCCCGGGAGCTTCGTATAAGAACACAAGCTCATGGGGCGCCTGGGTGGCTCAGTCGTTAAGCGTCTGCCTTCGGCTCAGGTCATGATCCCGGGGTCCTGGGA